TGACTGCCTCCTCAAAAGTCACTGGATCAGTAGATTCTGTGAACATAACAAGATGTTGCATTTCTTCCTCCTCAGATAATCCTTCTCCACTCACATAATCTTCCATCCAAGGTGGTTGCCTTCTTATCCTCCCTTGATCAGAATTGTCTTCAGCCGGTGATGATGATGATGAACCAGTAACTCCACTGTCACCACCCTGTTCAGTATGCTCTTCCTCCTCATTATCTCCTTCTTCCTCACTTTCCTCTCCTCCATCTTCATCTCCCCACTCAAGAATATCACCACGAGCTTCTTCAAATGCTTTTTTCCAATTCCATTTCTCCTCTTCCTCAAAGTCAACATCTCTGCTTATAACGACTTTCTCCGATGCTTTTTTCCAATTCCATTTCTCCTCTTCCTCAAAGTCAACATCTCTGCTTATAACGACTTTCTCCGACACTGGATCAAACATTCTGTATGCCTTGGATTCCTTACTCAGGCCTAAGAACACACACTTGAGGCTTTTGCTATTGAGCTTCTACCTTTTGATGTCTGGTATGTGAACATATCCAATGCAACCAAAGACTTTAAAATCATCCACAGAAGGTTTAAAACCAGACCAAGCTTCTTCAGGTGTTTTATCTTTCACTGCCAATGTGGGATACTGATTAAGAATGTGCACTGCCCAATTAACTGCTTCCGGCCAGAATGTCTTGGGAACTTGCTTATCGGCTAGCATACATCGTACCTTATTCATAATGGTTCGGTTTTTTCTCTCTGCAACCCCGTTCTGTTGAGGGGTGTAGGCTGCAGTGAGTTGTCTACCAATCCCATTAGAACTGCAAAATTTGTTGAATTCAAGTGAGGTGAACTCACCACCTCGGTCAGTACGAAGACTACAAATAAAATTCTCTGATTGTTTCTCTACCAAGCTCTTGAAATTCTTAAATGTAACAAAAGCTTCTGACTTGGCATGCAACAAATAGGCCCATACTTTTCGACTAAAATCATTGATGAAAGTGATTATGTACCTCTTGTGGCTGTTGGACTCGTGAGTAATCGGACCACAAATGTCAGCGTGCACCAGTTGTAGTTTCTGAGAGGCTCTCCACGAACTCTTTTTAGGAATTGAAACTCGATGTTGCTTGCCTATTGCACAATCTGCGCATAGCTTGGAGGGGGCTTTGAAAAGAGGCAGGCCTTCTACCATCTTCTTAGAAGACAAGGTTCTTAAACCTTTAAAACTTAGGTGTCCAAATTTCCTATGCCACAACTGAGTTGTGTCCTCAAATGCAGTTAGGAGACATGTTGGTCCTGCAAGTTGAATTTGTACAGAAGTAAGCAATACAAACATTCTATTGCAAGACATCTTAGATTCCATAATCAACCCTCTTACATGATGATAGATTTTGCAAAGTCCATCTTGAATTAGGATAGCCAACTTCTTCTCTTGTAATTGACCAATACTAAGCAAATTATTCTTGAGTTCAGGATAAAAAATACTTCAGTAATTACCTGAGTTGCTCCATCGATACACAGTTTGATGTTTCCCTTCCCCATTAATAAAAAATACTTCAGTAATTACCTGAGTTGCTCCATCGATACACAGTTTGATGTTTCCCTTCCCCATTACAGCCATCTTGGTGTTGTTGCCGAGTTTCACCACTTGTCTGAAGGTTCCGTCTAGGTCGACAAACCATTGCTTGTTACTGCTCAAGTGGTTGCTGCAGCCAGAGTCTAGGAACAACACTTCATCTCTCTTCGAGTTGTTGAATTCAACAGAGGACATCAATAACATCTCCTCTTCTTCATTTAGCTCAGCATAGTTGGCATTATTTTCCCATCTAGGACGCTCATATTGGAAGTGTCCTAGATTGTGGCATTTGTAGCACTCTATCAGTGCCTTGTTGAATTGTTGTCTTCCCCTGCCTCTGCCTCTTCCTCTTCCTCGAAATACACCTCTGCCTCTGCCTCTGTATCCAAATCTATCTTCATGACTGACCTTGAGAGCTTGTTCTTTATTTGTATGCCCATTCATCCTCTGTTCATGCACCAATAGACTACTCTACAATTCATCTATAGTCAAAGTATCCAAATTGTTGGATTCTTCAATGGAGCATACCACATAGTCAAACTTTGCGGTCATGGGCCTCAGTATTTTCTCAATAATCATCACCTGCTTCATGTTCTCCCCATGAGACTTCATCTTGTTGGCAATTGTGAGTGTACGTGCAAAATACTCGTCCACTTTTTTACCCTCTCTCATCAGACTTCATCTTGTTGGCAATTGTGAGTGTACGTGCAAAATACTCGTCCACTTTTTTACCCTCTCTCATCTGCAACACTTCAAATTCTCTCCTTAGTCTTTGCAGTTGAGCCCTCTTCACCCTTGTACTCTCTTGATATTTCTGCTTCATAGAGTCCCAGATACTCTTGGCCGTTTCTTTGTTGAGTATAGTTTCTAGTATTGTGCGATCAATAGCCTGGAACATATAGTTCTTGGCTTTGCGATCCTTCTCTCTTTGATCCTCAATTGTCTTACGTTGAGCCTCTGTTGATTCAACTCCTTCTTTTAGCTCCATGATTCCTTCTTCCACTATGCTCCATAACTTCTTGGTCTGAAGAAGATTTTCCATCATCATAGCCCAGTGATCATAATAGCCATCGAATTTTGGGATTGATGGCTGCACAAAGTTTTTCTCTGAAGATGAAGCAATTGTCTCTCTTTCTCTTTCTCCCCTTTTTTTTTGCGCTCTCTCTCTTAAGAAATCTGTTGTTTCTTCACTCCCGATTAGGCCCCGTGATGTGGCTCTGATACCACTTGTTAGGAACTTAGAACCTAAAAACACAGAGCACTCTTTATTGAATGAGAAATATTGTGGCTTTATACCAGCCTTACAAACAGAAATGATAACAAACTGCAACCACGTTCACACAACCTAAAACGTGGTAAATCTGTTACATGAATGATTCAAAGCTAAGTTACAGCCCTATAATCCAGGACATTATTAACACAAGCAACAACTAAAGTATGACTAAGTCTAATCGACTTAATCACCAAAAGACTACCAATCCTAACAAAATATCTTTATCATAGTATTCGTAAAACTATTAAATGACAAATTCAAATTAGAAGAAATTTAGACAAGGAAATCCAAACTGGTATATAATTTGAGATTTTTTAAACGAATACAATGATGACCGTATTATCATTCGATTCGATATGTTTCCGGTCCTGAATGATGCCTGTCTTCCTATTAGTGAAAAAAACCACAATGATACACCTTCATGGCTTCTTCCATGTATCGACACCAACAAGTTAATTATATCCACCTTTGCCTCTTCGTCTCCACTCCTCAAACCTTGTACTGGTGCTGGTAGTTAGGAAGAACATGTTCGAGAATGTCCTGCTCTGCAAATTTCGATAATGCAACATGCTCAGAGGTTTAAAACCTACCAAATTACATTTATATTAAATTGATGCAAGATGGGAATGTGGCATTTCCCACATGTCAACCGAAATGGGATATCATTCTAGGTCCGGTACCATGTCTCAGGGATGAATTCCATTTTCAGGCTGCTACATTCAGCCAGGTCTATGAAATATTGGTGAGGCTTTTCTATAGCTTCTTGATCCTAAACTGCATCATCAAGGTTATGAAAACTGCAAAAGTAAATATTTCTTCCCACCTGGAAGGATGTCATCAATTGTCATGCCTATCGTGTGGAGACTACTTTACTACATTTGGGTCGGACAAACCCTGATCATGAAGATTATCAATGCGCAAATCATCATCAGCATGCTTTCAGTTTGGAACAACTATTCGATTTCTCAGATGAAGGATCGCATTTGAACTTCTCGTCGAGCTTCTTCAAGAACCTCTAGCCTCAGGAACTTCTTGATATGCTTAACTTCAATCAACCCTGCAGAAAAAAAAAGAGTCACGCTATCCCTAGCCAAAGAACTCCAGATCCTATACGGTTTCCAACAATAACAGGAATGGCAAACGATGGGATCTATCCCTTGCTCCAGTAAGGCGTCCTACACATTCCATCAAACACCCACTATTAGCAGTTCTCGGAGCAACTCGCATTATAAGCAGTTCTTGGAGTTAGGATATGAGCGTTTATACCACCACTTAACACTACGCTTCAGCTTATCCCCCCTCACAGTTTCATCGGATACTTGCACTGGCATCCCTTTTTCCTACGACAGATTCAAAAATTTCCAATACTGCCGCAGACATCACAAGCTCATCATGTTGATCTTCTCTTAAAAAAAAGGCTCCAGTACACTTACCCAGTAGCACAATAATACATACTGCTTTGGCTGTAACCTTCAGCCTGGAAAACCACTGAATAGGATTATGATCATTCTCAAAATCTAGCTGGAACTCTCCCTGTAATCTTTGAACTAAGATATATTTGTGATTTGATGCTCAGAGAAGGCCGTATACTGGTTTTAAAAATGTTGATCATGACGATCTAGCGAATTTCCCCATCTTAAACATTATATATTTTAAGACGTAACACGGCACAATGGAACAAATACCTCTAAGTATACTATTTGCAAGTAAGAAAACAATGCAAAGTTCAGATTTTTCTGACTAGAATATCCTGCTATGGCTTGATGGACCACAATTCTACTCTAATTATATCCTGCCGAAACAATTGCAATTAGCCTTCACATTTGGGCAAACCATTCAACGCTTTGCAATTAGATCAATTAGCTTTGCACTTGATCTAACAACTATTCATAGATGAAGCAAAAGAAACTTGTCAAAAATAAATTTCGAATCCAAGATCTAAAAGTAAGAGCTATCTAGTTGAAATAGTCTTCAACAGAAAAAGAGAACCATCTAGTAAAGATATATCTTGATCTATCAATTAAAACCCTAGAGCTTCTAACTGGGGCAAAAATACGCCGTCACGAGTTACAAATTTGAAAGCCAAGCAAGAGGACATGTCAATTTAAAACATTAATCGAATGTTTCAGTCCACAACATCTAAAAAAGTTGGAATAAACCACATCAAAAACCTTATAAATTAAGAAGGCAGGCCAATTCACAATCTTTCCATGATTTTCTAACTTCTTCTCAAAAGAAACAAAGTGGAATACAAGTGTAATATGCAACGACCCAGAGGAAATCATGGGAGCTGAAGCAATAAACAATATCAAGCTACAACATTTTCTCCCATTTTCCCAACATTAAAACGTTTATTCAATTCAAACTTTTCATAAATCTAGTATTCGGAGTAAACATCCCAGAGATGTAGACAACAAATCCCCCCTCCCATTCAAGCAGTTTCAATAGCAAAGATAAAGAGGGAGGCTCACTCGTTAGCAACCAAAAACTTCAAAAACCCTTGATCAGATTCCTCCTCCTGAGGAATCTCGCGATCGGCGGCGTGAGTGCAATAGTGATCGGAACCCTAACCGGAAACAACGCCTTGTTGCAGAGCAAGGCGAGAGCAAGGGCCCCACCGCTCGACGCCGCCAGCTCGGTCCGTCCTGTTCCTCTTAGTAAAGCCGCCTCCGCCGCCGCCGGGAGGGGACTCGCTGGAGTCGAGGACGAACCGTGGCGGGTCGCGGAGCTAGGGCTTAGGGCTAGGGTCATTGACGCCGGAGAGAGAGGCCGATCTTGTGGAAGAGGGACTCGACATCGACGTTTGTTGTTAATGGCGACGTAGAGGCCGCCGATGGAAGGCGAAGGAGACCCGGAGAGATGAACGCCGAGGGCGACCTTCCCGTACTTCTTCATGAGATCCTTCATGCGAGCGGAGAACGCCATGGTTGGATGAAGGTGAGAAGAAGAGATCTAGGGTTAGGGTTTGGGTTCAGGGTTTAAGAGGGCTTGGCTTCTGGATTGAGATTTTTGGGAGCAAGGAAAAGAGGGGTGGTGGTTTTGCAGCTTAGTCCTTCTAACATTGAAATTGCTATTAGGCAGCCGGTTCTATACATTACTATTTGCTGTTAAGGGTTAACTAATTGGACTATATTTTATCATCTGATTGGATGTCTATAATTATATTTTAATTATTTGACTATCTGATCATATAATTGAATACTAATACGTACTTAGTTTTTCAAATTGACTATAAACGGATGTCGCTAATCCTTCAATTATTTAAGCAACACAACTTTTTAAAAGTACTAGTTTTTATTCACGTGGAATGCACGTGGTTAAATATTAAAAAAATACATTTTTATATTTATTTCATTACTTTAAATAAGTAAGATTTATTCAAATATGTATAATTGGATTATAAGATTTATTAGTATTTTTTTTAAATATTAAAAAAATAAATGTAAAGGAATTTAAGCTAAACTTGGATGAATATACGTATCTGGCATATTGTAATTGTTATTATGAATTTTAGTTATAGTAATGTAGAAAATATTTCAAAATTTTAAGTTATTTCAAATATTTTTTGACTTAAAAAGCTAAGATCATTGTTTGATTTACTACAAACTTGTAAATTATTTTTGTTCTAAAAGTTTTTAATTGATCGCTACCACCAACACTTAACAGGAACTTAATTAAAGTGTGAAAGTAAATCTTGATCAAATTTGGTCCCTTATTCAACATGGCAACAATCTCAACAAGTAATAATTAGTAAGCCAAGGTTTTTTTTGAAAACAATGAATATTGAAGTTTGTGACAACCCCAAGCAAATTCATCACAATAGTAATTCTTTGCTAATTGGTTAAAGAGGTCACATTTATATCATAAATGATTGATCACATGCTGCGCTATATATCCATAGACAATAATAAAATATAATAAAATGGTTAAATATCAAAGTGTAATTTTATGTGATGTAAGCAATCACATAAGCATACAAAACTACTAATAACTTTGCATGAAAATGCCTTATAAAAATTCCTAATTGTAATAAAAAAATAAGTTGTTATATAAAATAATTAAAAAATATTGTTCTTGAAAATTTCTAATTGAACCAAGATCAATCTTTCTCCACCTTTATCTTTTTTTCTGGGCAACTCTAGAGTAGCATCTTCATCATCTACGTCGATTGTAATATCAGGCTGGAGTTAAAATTCCTGTGCTATTATATTACCTTCGCCTCGTTCATCTTTTGTCTCTTCATCTAACTTCACCAGGAATTTGAATGTTTTTCCGATGTTCAAAACAATTTTTTGGAAATATGGACTCTGATTATTTTTCTGTTGCAATGAGAACAAATGTTATATTAATACTTATGAATTTGTTTATTTTCTAATTTATTACTTGAATAGAGTTAGGAATTACCTCTTTCTTTTCTGTAATGAATGTTTTTGCTTTGCATCCAATAAGAGTTTCTGCTGCGTCAAATAGTGTTACTCTTGCATTATCCGTGCCATTTTCCACGAGAATCTTAACTAAGTATTGTATTTTTCATTGTTAATTTTCCACAAGAATCTTAACTATTTATTAGTATCTTTAATTCTTCAAAAGATTGATAATCATTCAATTTGCGAAGGAACTTTGCATATGGGTTTCCTTGTAATATATCCATCAAGCTCTTAGTTGTGATTTCACTCATATTTGTATTGTGTAGAATTCCCAATCGATTTTGTAACTCATTCTCTGTATCATAGAAGTAAAGCTGAAAGTATGAAGGCTTATTTTCCTTTTGGAATTAGAGCTGGGAGATTATGATATATTTATCCTTGTTCTCTAAATGTGAAAACCCCTTTTCTATTTGATGCGAGCTCTTTATCAAATCTTGCCCCAAACGATGTGAATGAGAAAATACTGTTGTACATTCTGGTGTGGCTTCGGAACTCAATTGCCTCTGGTGTTTGCATTGTATAAAGGGCAAATAATTCATTTGGAATATTCACATCTGCTAGGTGGATTTCACCGTTGTGACAACAAAATGTTGGAGGCTCATGTTCAAACTTTTTGGATCCACAATATGCACAAGACTTTGGAGTGCGTAGCTTATATAGTAAAGAACATACCGGTTCATGAATAATTTGCCCTAGAACAAATATAAATATTTAATAAACTAATATATAATGTTATATGGCTCTTTCAATAAACTATAAAATATATGTACACCAACATTCATGCTCATAGGCCGGTAGAAGGGCTCCACAAAATAGGTCAACTTTACGTTGTCGTTTGCCATTAATAGTATTACTAGAAGAGTCATTACTGTGTCACTTTCTCTTATTATCCGCAATTCTCTGAATGTAAGATTTCTTTTGCTCATCACTCAACCGAGAATATTTAGTCTTTTTAATTCTGGGTATTGGAGTGTTCTCTTCTGTTTAAAAAAAAATTTCATGTAGTATTATAAATACATACACATATACTAATATAATAATATATGAATAATTCATTATTGAGTTTAATGCAAACCTTGGCTTGATGCCATTTTAGGCGAGAAAGTGTTGTATAGTAGTTATGATATCAAAAAACCAGAGAATAAATTTCTACAAAGGAAAATCGTATGTCATATTACTATTAATTTATGAATATATATATGAGCAATGCAGATAGTCGGACAAATTAGTGAAAATTTTCATAAAAAATCAAAAGTAAACAATCAACTATAATCATTATCACAATAAAAAAAAATTGATATTCTACACTAACCTGATACTCGTAATTATGGAATAAATCTTGAGTACAAAATTGGAATTGAGATGATATTATCCTATAGGTAAAAAATATGTGTCAGAAAATGAAAAACCAAATGAAAATTATATCAACAACAATAGGGGACAAAAATATACTTAAAAATTAAAATTCACCTTAATCAAGGAATTTAGAATAAATTAGTCAACTACTCTTTCTAAACAATAATTTTGATGGTACTTAGTAAGTAATCAAACAACATGCATTTTTTTAACAATCGTAATAAATTAGATTATATCCAAGAAAAAAGAGTAAATAAAATTAAGAAGAGCTTATATTAAAGTTTACTAATAAAATAATTAACTATTAGTAATAGCAAGTGTTACGAAAACTTAAGTGTTATTAAAATTAGCAAGTGTTATGCAATTTTTTGTAAACAGTGAATGCCGTCTGTTTACGCACCTGGATTTCGTAGACCAGGATACAGGAATGATTTATTTGCAAATCTAGGGATACTAATAATTCTTCCGCCTTTCACTCTTAAGGCTCAGAGTCAAGAAAGTGTCCTTACCCCTGCCTCCCAGCTTCCACCTCGACCGTCAACTGCCGTCCGTCACCATCGCATCCATCTCAACCGCAACCTTCACCCTCGGAACCGAGCTACAGCTACCCGCCTCCGCCGCCTCCGGAAGGAAGCTCCGACTATTACTACTCGCCGCCGCCTCCTCCGGAAGGAAGCTCCGGCTACTATTAAGTGAGCTTCTTTTTAATAGGATTTAATGATTTTTTTTTGTTTAATTTCGTCAAATCTGTATGGGTTTTTATTTTTAAGTGGAAAATCGAAGTGGTTTAGTTTATTTGTATCTGATTTATACTGATGAGGCAGGGTATTTTTGAAAGTACGATGATTTAAGGGAAATTTATGTGGATTTTACCCTAAAGTAAGCAACCAGTTTGCCTTATCTAAGAGTTTCTCTACGTTTTTCAATCGGTCCTTATCCTCTCTCTCTCTCTCTCTCTCTCTCTCTCTCTCACACACACCTCAGCTTTTAATGGCGAGCTCATTATGCTACTCCGCCTCCACATATTGTTAATCAATGGGATTATGGAATTGTGTTTTCCTTGCTAGCTACTTCTAGATTTTAATTGAACGGAGCAAGAGAGCTTAGTGAAGTAAACTCAGAGATGCGAACACCATTCATCGCCTAATTGAATGGAGCATCCACATGTGTATGCTATTGCAAATACAGCCATTCGTGAAATGACAAGAGGTGAGTTTGCAAAAGCCTACATATTATCAATTTCTGCCTGCCAGTTTCTACATTCGTGAAATGACAAGAGGTGAGTTTGCAAAAGCCTACATATTATCAATTTCTGCCTGCCAGTTTCTATGACTTTTAATGAACTTGTGTTTCTGTTACAAAAGCCTACATATTATCAATTTCTGCCTGCCAGTTTCTATGACTTTTAATGAACTTGTGTTTCTGTTCTTTTGTAGATGAAATCAATCAATCAATTATTATAAGGTTTACAATTCAACCTTTGTATTTTTCATGTAGTCCAGGAATATGTATGAAACCTATTTATTCTAATTTATACATAAGTATTGTCTATGCAACATGGACACTTCTATCATCTACTCGTGTTTATGTTGAATCAGTGGACAGTCCAAGGATACGTATTAGACACTTATAAATATGTCGTCAGTTTTTATAATATAAATTTTAGAATCTTTTTATACATTTCTCAGATACCTCTATAACACGTCTTTTGAACATTTTTATGCTTCTTAAAAACTTCTTTCATATCATTGGCACATTGAAATATGTGCCAGTACCCTTCTTCTTGTTAAAAGTCTTATTACATGAAGAAGGCATTAAGATACTTAATGGAAGTATAGGAATACTGATAATATTAGAGTGAATTTCACATGTGTGATACGTTGAATTATGTTATAGAAAGATAAAGTGTCAATAGATTTTTCCAATTTGAAAGTCACAAAAGTCTTTGCAGACGTTACATAGCATCCTATACAGAATTTAAATATGTCTGCCTGTAATGACCGTAAAATTTTAATACTAGTTATAATAAATTTTTGGTATTTTAAAATATTTAATTATGATTTTTAAAAGAGTATTTGTATTTTTCTTAATTTTCTAGAATTTTCTATGATTTAAAGTCTAAGTTTTATATTTATTTAAATGAGTTTTATATTTATAAATTAATTTAGTGCAATGAAAATTTCTAGAATTTATCCGTTGGTTTACCGATACTATTACGTATTATTTTAAATAATACGTCG